CCATTACTGAGCACATGCTGCTTTTGGCAGCAGTTTAATGTGATGTAGTTTGAGGAACTCCTCCCTCTCCCTGCCCATGGTGACCGGGGGAAAATAAGCTTGTCTTATAGTCAAGTAAATACAGTAGCGAACAAAGACAGAAAAGTAAATTGAGTCTTGTTAATAGAATGAATGAATAAAACCTTTCACATTGAAAAGTACAATCTCCAAACCTCTGTGGAAACTGGTTCGAAACTAATAAACTATCAAATATTCACTTTATTCCTTTACTTAGCTTTTTCATCAACACTAGCCAAACCAGAGAAAAAGATCATGAAGATGGAAATGCTATCGACTTTCCCACTCTATCTGGGAAGCCTTCCCTTAGCTTTCATCCTCATCTGTTTGAAATCTCATCAGAATTTCTCCTCCTCTACCTTTTAATTTCCCTTTAAGCAAAATGCCTTAAGTCATTATGATTCATTTGCAGCAGAACTGATTTTTATCCCTGTTTTTCATATTTAATTCAGCATAGTGTTTTCAGCACATAGTATATATAAAAGATATGATGCCAGCATAGTGTTTTCAGCACATAGTATATATAAAAGATATGATGCATAATAAAAGTCATCACTTTCCTGAATAGTAGTCTACTGTTACTTATGCATCTAGCAAGGATACAGTTTCCAATTCAGCACGTCCCATAAGAGGCAGTTCCCTAATATAAAATTGAAAGCACATTTACCCACCTGTTTTCACCTTTCTCTTGAAGACGCTTTTCAAATCCCATTGACACAAGTCATAGTAAAACCACAAAGTACACTTCTAATGCAACTTTTTTTTACTTCAGCAACACTGTTGCCTGCTATCCTGTAACATTCAAGAATATCAAGCAGCACAATACTTAAGAGAAGTCTGTTGTCCTCTTGTTTAAGCCGAAAATAAAACACTAGAGTAAGTGTCAAACATGCTTCCTCAAAACTCTTAACCATATATGAATTAAAGGAGAAAAATTATAATACCCTGAGTGCAATCTTCATGTTTATAGTACTGTTTGGACCAGAATTGTTCAGGTGGAACCGCTGATGCATAGTTAGATCTTCCCTTTCAAGCAGTTGGCTTAGAGGAAGCTTGAAATTTCCCAAGGAGCACTGATGCTGTTCATCCTTGACCTACAAGCAATATAGATGAGGTTATGCTTAGCTTTATAAAAATACTCAAAAAAAAATTAAGTTATGGTTCTATTGCAACATTTTTACCAAGTTCAGATACAGTTTATTTTTAACTCAAATTTAACTGGCCCAACAATTATAGGTGTGCTTCTGGAACAAGAATCAGCAAAGAACTGCACTAGTTTGATATCCACACCCTTTAGTTACTACATTCATTAGCAGATAAAAGTATTCTAACACAAGGCAGAAAAACAATCATAGTTGTGTCTAACTGGGCTCCCATTAGCAAAGAATTCTCACAACAATCAGGGAACAGCATTAACCAAACTAGTCTTTAATTACTCTATTTCCCTTCATTGCCCAAAAATATGTAATAATTGGATAGAGTAGAGCACTTCAGGTCGGATGAGGACATGGGAGATATGCATATGCTAAAGGAAATAAAGTGGCCCTTGTAAGTTAATGGTTGGTTGAAAAAGCAGCTTGTTAAGGCTCAAACAATTGTTTCAAAAATACTAATTTACAACATAAAAATGTGAGCCATCAGCAGACAGTTGTGGCAGCAAATATTGGTTACAAACACTTCTTTCTCCCTTCCAGGCTGTGGATGCTATTGTAGAAATACACTAGCAGGAAAATATGCATGAGAATGAGGTATGTTTACCTCTACTTCAAGTTCCTGCCGTCTGGGATTGTGGATAAAGAAAGTGAAGTGTTCCTCCCATACAGGTTCATTAGTCTTGTATCGAATCTGAAGAGGAAAATAACTCAGTAAAATGCATTTCTGTCAAAGTTGGCATCAAATGTGCACTCACATTACACAGATAGTTTGTACAGTTCATGTTTTGAATGCGACTGACTAAAAAAGGGTCCAGACACGGTTACTACAAGGCACATATGGTACAATATGACATTTAATAAATAAAATTCATTTTAGAAGTAAAGTGGAGTAACAATTTCACATAGTTTTGGTGAACTGTATTGTATGAAGTACAATTCCAGCTACTTAGCTTCTACCTTTTATGGTGCTGACCTATGAAAAAATAACCTTATTGTAAGGTTCCAGGCTGCGTATAGTACATACTCACATAAACCCTGGCCTGTCTGTAACTGACCAGGAATTGATTTAAGATAGACAAGACTTTAAACAAATGTTTAATTTTAACTTGTATTAGGTTCAAACTACTGACAAAGACCAAGGCTTTCACATAATACATCAGGCACCACATCTGGCGGTAGTTTTAAGTACTCAGTGATAGCTTACCTTACTTTCCTGTGCCTTGTGTCCAACTGATAATAAGACAAGTGGATTGGGATTGCTGTTTATTTTTTTTCCTGACTGATAAAGAAAAAGTGTAAATTTTATTGTTAAAATATGCTATTGCATTTCCTTCTACTTAAACACAAGAATTTAACATCTCTTGCTCTTGGATATTTTTTTAAATTGTCAAATTTTAAATGCACTCTGTCATCTGTATCTCTGCTACTGTCCCTAATTTTTAGTGGCTTGAAGATATTTACATGGGCAGAAATTTTTTAGCTGGTTAACACATTCATGATATGAATTCCTACAACAACTGATAGGTTAGTTTAAAGCAGAGTACTACAAACATTGGAGTTTTAGACTCCTTCCATTTCTTTGAACGAAACTGTTGGAAAACTGCAATCTTGCATACTTTAATGAACATTACAGTCCCCAAAAGCTGATGGAGCATCATCAGTACTGCAAAATGAATGTTGCGGTCTGCATGCAGATGGGAGACATGGAGAAAGCACAAACTTAGGAAGCTTAATTTGTTTACAAAGCAATATTATTATTAAACTAGGTGCAATACCAAATCATCCATAATTCTCCATGTCAATGGGGAAACAGAAAGATGCACTGTAATGTACCTGATGTATAGTTTATAGTTTACCAAATACTCTTTATTAGAGAATCAACCATCTGTTATATCTAAGCCTTGCTCACCAGCTGTATAGCATTAGACCAAACTGTAAAAATAAACATTGATTTAGAATAAACCTACATAAAAGTAAAACATTCCTTCCCATGTTTTCTATAACACATTTTATATTTGTCTATACAAGCCAAAAAGCAAAGATAGACATGAAAGTTAATCATCTCAAGCAGCTGTTAATGTAATTTACAAGATTTAGAACTACAGCATACATGGTTAATGTATTTTGAATGTTACCCCACAGGAGATTAATTAGACAAATTAAAAAGAAAAGTTAGTTGAACCCCAAGCATGTAAGGCCACCAAAATGAAATGAATGAATGACTAGGCTCATTAAATAAATCATTAAGAAATAGTTCATGATTGATAGCTCTCTAAAGCTACAAAATTTATCTTTCTAAATGTAACAGTTCACTTGATGTGATCTGATTTTTAGTGGTAAGAGAACACTCCTTCCTTGGATACTGATGCATTTCTTTTTTAAACTCAAAGCATTTTAGGTCCATCCAAACCAGCTGAGGCATGCCATTTTTAGGGAATAACAGGATAATAAATTCAAGAATGTCACTGGAAGATTAGAATAAGATTTCTTTTGAACCTGTTTCACAAAATGTTGCCTTAAGTTGTCTTTTCTTCATGATAAGGACCAATCTACAGGAATATTAGCAAAAATTATCATACTGTGCCTAGTAATCATTGTTTATATTCCTGATAAAAGAAGTGACCCTACAGGTATTTTCACACAGAATACCTTAGTAATATCTGTCCTTGATAAGACTAAGTTTACCGCTCACAGGACCATTCTGTCTCCAAGTGCTTGTCTTCATAGGTTGGTGAGTATGCAGTAAAGTAGGATGTGAATTTACAGTGTCCTAGCTACTCCACACTAACTATCCATAGGGACCCTAATGGCACAATAGGTATTATGTAGCTTGCTTCATTTAGAAAGTAGCAAGTATGCCACATTACAAAAAGGCACTCTTCCCTCACAAGAAGAGTTTCGTATAGGGAAGCTATGGTGCTGTAAATTCACACTCAAGCTCTCTGCATAGGATCTTCCCCATGTGGACAAGCTGGCCAAACAAAAATTCATAAATTCACAAGCCTCTTTAATTTTGAGCCAATTTTAATGCTCTTCTTAAATAAACCTCTGAGTCCCTGGACTTTCTACACCATTCATCTAAGCAGATGGTATCCACAGATGTTTAAATACTTACAACTCAAAGATTCGTATTTTTTTTTAATAAAGATTGAATCAAGAAAAAGAATACACATTCTTTTTAAAAGCTTCTTTGTGTAAAAACAGAAGGATATTACAAAACAGATTCATTCAAAATATTTTACAGTGCATTTATACAATAACTTGAAAGTTGAAATGCATCTTTTCAATTGAGAAAATTAATATTTCTAGTTCTGTTTTTAGGTTACTAACAAGTTATGGTAACCAGAAGCTGTTGCTTTCAAGTAATAGTGTCAATGTGTACAGTTTTTAACAAGATTAATTAAGGGAGTTTTTATTAAGTGGAGCTTAGTTTTCACTACAACTCCTTAACATACCAACTTTCCAGTGCTGCTACTCACAAACATAGTGTTCTTGACCTAGAGCTAGAGTGTTCACCATCTTGTAGAAAGCGACTGGAAGCTTCCAGGAAAAATATCCAACAGAAAAATTAATCTTTAAACCCAGCTAAATTAATAGACTTTATTGATTACTCATCTAGAGATAGACAGTAAAGTATCATTCAGCACGTAGATGTTTTACTTTCATGTCAGCCTTGATCATGAAATACTTTAAGGTAGAATTCAATATTTTCCAACTTTCTAAAGCAGACTATGTATCATTTACTTAATTTAGAGTCCAAGTTCTTACAGAAAAAGATATTCTATTAATGTCTTCACCACATCAGTTACTTCTTGGTGCTCAGAGTTGGATACTCTGATACTAAATACATTAAGAGTGGAAATTCTATTGACTGTAGGAAGATGTGGAAATTTGTGCATTTCCAATTAACACTGTGACCTTAAATGGAGAACAATATTAGTTTTACCTTTAGGGCTTTCTGAACAGCAGCCTTCTTCAAGCCATCAGGGTTAAATTCTAATGGATTTTGCTTTTAAGTCAAGAGAGAACGAACATAGGAAGGGTTAATAAGGCATGCAATTAAGTTATTTTATGAGGTTAAGTAAGTAATCACATGACAACATAGAAGAGAAAAAAACCCAAACAAACTAAAAAACCTTTCCAAACAAAATGATAAAGGAATCACTTCCAAAAGGAAGCCTAAGAAAGCTTTTTGTTCTTTTGTCTTCTTCCAGTGCTAATCTGCTTTTAAACAGTCATCTTCAATCCACTGCTCCTGTATAATTTTGGCTTATGTTGATAAATATATAGGCACCAATGAGTTTTATTGCATGGGTTATATGGTGTGCTGACTGTCCTAAAAGCCTCTTTTTATTGTCCTCCTTTATTATGGGAGGAATATATTTTCTAAAGCATCACACCACAAAACAGAGGAAAAGCAAGTTAGTTGGGTGAGTCAGGGAGGTACTGCTTTTATGGGGAAATCAATCACTTATTCCAAAATACTGGTAAGACACAGTTTAATACAAAATGTAAGTAGTTTTAGTCCCTTTCCTTGTTCATTTTGTTCTTTGCCACCAGACAACTAGCTCACTTACTTTTGGAATTCAATATACTTACTAGTTTAACTTGAAGATGTACAAAATCTACCAGAGTTTTTGATATTTGCCCAAATTTAATAATATAATTACCTTGTCCTCTGACCGTTTTCCATTAACTAAAAAAAAAATTCCTTATTTTACCTCAGTAACAATTATGTTGAAGGGATATGCACATATTGTAAAACAGGGAAACTTGCAGTAATTTAGGAATTAAGGGTTTTAATAAAGGAAACAGAAGCCTAGCAAGGGTGCCATAGCATCCCATTAATTTCCAAGCAGAACTTCCTCCTGATTGCAATGATGAATTCTGCTGGAAAGCTCAGGAATGTGGCACATCAGGAACTGGCGCAAGCTGGTTTTCAAATATGCTACACTTGAGACAGAAAGCAATGTTACCAGTACTTTCCACGAAAAAAAACTTTCCAAAATCCAAATGCACAGATGACCAACATTAAAAAAATGGCATCAGTCTTTAACTATAAATAAACTATAAAATTATTTTTTTGTTTTAAAGTTGCTAGTCACATCCTAAAGTTAAATGGTATGTACTGTAGTATTCCTGGTATTCAAGTACAGGAGTCTGGGTTCCAGTGTGCATAAAACTTTGAAAGAAATTACTGGACAGCAATATAAATCACCATTAAAAGAATTGTGGAGTGTCATGGAAAGAGACAAAATATTTAAATTTCCAAAAGTATCAGGATGATACAAGTGAGTGGTCATAAACACAATCCTCTGAATATATTGTACTCCACAGTCACTCACTCTAAAATCACATTTTGTAAGCAACCTCCAAAGTTACTCTCAAAACTTAAAGAAGTTTTTTGAACCCCTACTTGAGGTACCATGATCATACGTGTAAATGTAATATTCCAAAGCATTTTTTCAAAATAACCCTCACAGAACTGTATCTATATTTTCAAGCCCTCCTAATTAAAAACACTTACACTCCTTGAAGTTTGCCTTTTGCCTGCACACTGTTGGTTCTCAACAGCACCCGTACCTACCTTCTGTGAAATTACAACGTCACAAACCCCTCAATATATTATTCACCATCCATAATCCGTTTCAAATCTTAAGAACTTTTTCCATTTCTGCATTCTGTTCTAGGAAGTACCAAAACAGCAACTTTAACTAGGGCAATGCAGAAGTAGAAATAGTGTGACACAAAGGAACCACATTATTTCCATGGTTTATGTCGAAACCCTCGCACCACTGAAATCAATGGCAAAACTTCCATCAACTAAAACATGGTCAGGAGCTTATCCCAAATAACCGTGATATCAGCTAACAGCATCTATTAAGTGCCTGCATGGAGAGTGAAGTTGTCAGAGGCACTATTCTTAATTTAAAGATTATAACACTAGAGATTTTAATAAAAATGAATAAAATCAAAGTGGCTCTTCATGAGCCATGAGTTTCATAAACTAATCAAGCAAATAAATTCAAAAGTTCCAGGTCACTTTGAAGCCCCCAACATGTTTTTCTAATCTAGTCTCAGTTAACATCAAAAGAGAATTACTCAGATGAATATATACTAATAAAAATCTTTTCCCATTATTTTCTTTGAACTACAATTACGAACAACACATACATTTCTCTGGAAAGAAGGATCTTCGGAAGATTTCTACTCTTGAAATGTTACACAGAAAGAAAGAAAAAACTCTATAGCGTATCACTAAATATTAACTAAAAGCATTCAGTTAAATTGAACAAAAGTAAGCTTCGCTCTAGATCAAACTATTTAAAAGCTGAAGTAAAAAACAAACCTATATAATAATAGATAAAGCCAGACTCTTCTAAATCCTAATAGAATGGAACATCTCCTGGGCCCCAATCATAACCTTGTGTCTCAACAATTTTTCCCAAAAAAGAAATCAAAACACTACAGTAATTGCTATAGCTGAAAAAATTAGTGGCCCATTTATTTTGGTATCTTTCCTCTGACACTGACCAATGCCAATGACTTTCCAGGAAAGTTTAAACTCTTGTTATATGCCACAAATTATTCAGTATGGCAAACTGTTTTCTTCCTGACCTCAGACAGGTCAGTTCATATCCTGAAGCATAACTGATTAATAAGTATCCTCTTATAGCTCATATCTGGGGTTTAAAGTGTGGTTGCAGAAGCCCTGACAGCATCCTCAATTGATCTATGGTAGATACTGACCTAGAAATAGCTGCATTAAATGCTACCCAAGTTGTACATTATGCATATTCAAAATTTGAAAAGCAGGCATATTTTTGGTCCTATGTATGTCAGCACTAAGCACAGGGCATATTAACACTACTAGGAAGGCATTTTTGAAAAAAATTCCCCACTGAATGCCTTTGGCAACCAAAACATTTTTTTAAAGGAACTTTGGCTTATAAGTCACCTACAAGATTTAAATTTTCACAGTGTCTGAAATGGAAATCCTCCCAGGAAGACATCCCCCAATATGAAGTGACACACAAAGATCCACAAAGAAACCACCAGAATGGGAGATTCTCAACACAATTTAGCCACAGCATTTCCATTATGGCCAATTTTAAGGTTTATTTATGGTATTTTATAGCAGGGGGATGGCAACCACAACTGCCTTAAAATTTTAGTGCCAGGAAAACAGCCTTCTATAGTATAAGTTTACGTTTGCCCACATAGGACAGGTACTAACTTAATGTGCTGTAATCGGCGCTACTGCACGTTAGTGCACATGAATCCTTTTTTAGTAAAGTGCATTAGACTAAACGTACTGCATGTAAGCGCATTAGTATGGGTTTTGCCCACCACGCTAACAAGCAGAATTCGTTTTCTGTGCATTAAGCATCTCATGTATACGTGCCCATAGAGACTTTTAGGCTAGGGACAGAAATTATACTAACTGGTATAAATGATCAGAAACCAGTTCAAATCTGTAACAAAACAG